AGGGCGTGGCAGAAGGGATGGTGGTGTTACGAGAGGAAGCAGCCCTCGGCACAGCTGGTCACACTCTGCCAAGCAGCAGCAGGTCATTGCTTTCCTGGAAAAGGCAGGATCTGGGGAATGGGTACATTCTTTCTCTTCTCTCTCTTTTTTTTTAAGGGAAAACAACCTTTCTACCCACACCTCTTAACACATTGTGGTTGAGTAGGAGTTCCTAGATCTCCTAGGATCCACCCATTGCTGTTCTGCAATGATGACTAAGTCCTAGAGTGAGGTGTCAACTCCCCCCCCCCCCATCCCCGCCATGTCTCTGAAAGTCTCTGTGTCTGGATTTCCCTACTCTGTGTTCCACAGTTTCCTGGATTTCAGTGTAAAATGAATTCATCTGGATAAAGAGAATTCACTGGTATTTCATTTTCTGGCAATGATGGCTGACTAGCAGACATAAACTAACCTGTGCTTTCTGAAGAACTTGTTAAGTGCTCTGCCTCTTCACTGTGGACATTTTAAGTAAAAAGTACTAAAAATGGATCCCTCCCTTTAAGCAGTGAAGGAATTTGGATATTGTCTGAGTATGGAAAAGGGCTGACCATCCCAGTGCTGAGAGGTCGGGAGCCACACCATCAGGGAAGGGAGCCTTATGGCAGGAGTTTGTGTGTGAACCATGACATGATTCTAATTTTAGGTGCAATGTCTAGCTACTGACTCACATTCCTGGGACAGGGAATCAGAGGGTTCCAACTTGGACCAGGGAGTCCCTTGAGGTTGACTGTGAGGTAACTTGAGGGAGTCACATGATTTAGATACTGCCATTGTTCAACCTCCCCACGGGTGTGGGCAGTCATACAGAGAGTGGAAACCTTTTGAGACAGAAAGTCCCTTAAGAGTCTATTGCACCAGACTGGTCTTTATGTATAAGGGAAGCAATTTGTTATTTTAAATCCCAGCAGACACTAGGTGCTGCTGAAACCTGTGAAAGTGGCAGATTTTTTGGGGGGGGGATAGACGAGATACTTGGCTATAAGAAACAGGTTTTAAAAGAAGGTTTGGGAAACCTAAGAATGAGAAAAAGAACCAAACTGCCTTTGTGACAAAAACACAAATTGGGAGGTAGCTGATGACTGGACTGGGGAAAATTCAAGCTCTAATGAGGAAGCCAAGAATGCATGAGAGTGCTGGTGCAGTGAGTTTTTATTTTTATTTTACTGTGTGGTGTGGTGAACACAACCCTCCCATCCTACCCAAGGCTTGTGAACACAACCCTTCCATCCCTGCCCAAGGCTTGTGAACACAACCCTCCCATCCTACCCAAGGCTTGTGAACACAACCCTTCCATCCCTGCCCAAGGCTTGTGAACATAACCCTCCCATCCTACCCAAGGCTTGTGAACATAACCCTCCCATCCTACCCAAGGCTTGTGAACACAACCCTTCCATCCTACCCAAGGCTTGTGAACATAACCCTCCCATCCTACCCAAGGCTTGTGAACATAACCCTTCCATCCCTCCCCAAAGCTGGTGAACACAACCCTTCTATCCCTCCCCAAAGCTTGTGAACACAACCCTTCCATCCTATCCAAGGCTTGTGAACATAACCCTTCCATCCCTCCCCAAAGCTGGTGAACACAACCCTTCCATCTCTCCCCAAAGCTTGTGAACATAACCCTCCCATCCTATCCAAGGCTTGTGAACATAACCCTCCCATCCTACCCAAGGCTTGTGAACACAACCCTTCCATCCCTCCCCAAAGCTTGTGAACACAACCCTTCCATCCCTCCCCAAAGCTGGTGAACATAACCCTCCCATTCTCCCCAAAGCTTGTGAACATAACCCTCCCATCCTCCCCAAAGCTTGGGAACATAACCCTTCCATCCCTCCCCAAAGCTTGGGAACATAACCCTTCCATCCCTCCCCAAAGCTTGGGAACATAACCCTTCCATTCCTCCCCAAAGCTTAGCTGATATCTGGCAGATGCTTCACTTCAGCTTGTCGCTTTCTCAAGCAGAGGAGTTGATAGTTATATTAGTCAGCTTTCTGTACTGTACAAAATACCTGAGACAATCAACTTATAAAGAAGATAATGTTCCTTAGGCTCACAGGTTTCAGTTTAGGCATGACTGGTCCATATTGCTTTGGGCTGGCACAGCAGGCAATACAGGACAAAACTGCTCACCTGAAGGCTGAGGCATGAAGACAGAGGGAGTCAGGTCACAGTTAGCCCCTTTGAGAACATGTCCCCAGTAACTTAGAACTTCCCACTGAACTTAAGATCTACTGCTTTCCAGCAGCATCAGACCGTCACCTGGGTGGTGATGGGGACATTCCAGATCCCTACTGTAACCATAAATGCAGTAATAAAGGATGTAAGTGAAGGGACTCTTCGGCACAACTGATGGAGCTCACAGGGCCCAGTGCCAGAGACAATTAGTAGGAGTAATCACCTTTCTGAGGAGTCCCGAGACAGGCTGGCAGAGGGGCAGCCTGCTTTCCTCTGGGGTGGGCGGATGGCGTGGTTAGAATAAAACATTTGAATCCCCAAAGGGAGGCAATGTTTAGGTGAATTTAGGCAGAGACGATCAAAGAACTATGCATTTCTTTTTTCTTTCAAGCATGTGTAGATTAATTGTGCAAAGTAATGAGTATCATGTCATTTTCACCTGTACTCTTAATATCCCTTGGTCCTATCCACCGCCTGACTTACCCCTTCTTATCCCTCCTCCTCTCTTTCCCTTTCCATACCTCCAATAGCCCCCGTTATACTTTTGCGTTCCTCTACCTTCCAATCCCCTAATCCCACATACGAAAGAAAACATGTGGTCATTTGTCTAAATCTGGTTCACTTCACTTAACAAGATGAGTTTCAGCTCCTGCAAATAGCATGATGTCATTTTTTCTTTATGGCTGAATAACACTCTTGTATACATATATCACATTCTTTATCCTTTGGTGGACACCTAGGCGTTCCATAACTTGGCTACTGTGAATAGTGTTACAATAAGCAGGAATGTACAAGTGTTTCTCCTATATGCTGACTTTGTTATGCATGTGTGGTATAATTGGGATCACACAGATTTCTACTTCTAGGTTTTTTTAGGAATCACCATACTGATTACTGTAGTGACAGATCTAGTTCATACCCTACCAGTCATGTATAAAAGTTTCTTTAAGAACCATCAGGTTATTGAAAAATACAAATGTGGAGGAAATTTTAGCTGGCCATTTAAAGGTTTCATGTTGAAACTGAACTATTGCAGTGCTGAGGTAGTGCTGGTGCTGTCAAGGCTTCAAAATACAGATCTGATTTCCCTGTGTGCGGAGAACTTACACAGTGATCTACCAACCCGTAGCTTGTACTGCATCACCTCAGACCGAAGGATCCCTTTACGGTGAAGGAGACAGGCACATGAGCATGGGACTGAATTATCCTTTAACTTGCCACACCACGCAGAATATCCCTGTCCGATGCAGGGATGGACTGGACCTGTGGGCAGTCAACTCAGGCTCTAGCTTGAAGGTGAAGCCCTTGTAGTTTGTCCTGTTTGTGGCATTGTTAGTCACTTAGTAGACACACACCTTCAGAGGGAGACTCCTTAACATCTTTTCATAGTGGCTTTTCTTTTAGTTTCCGCTCAAATTTCATGTTGCAAACTGAGTGCTCCCAGAGGCATTCCTGTTTATTATTTTAATCTTTCAAACATGGGCTCCATGACCTTAAACTGAGCATGCCCTGGAAAGGCCTCTTAAGTAAACACACTTAGAATGCACCTTGGCTCCTTGAATATAGCTCTCATTTGTTAGTGGACTGTGTTGCTCTAGAACGGACCTGTGGGCTAGTCTCACCTGCTGTGGCTTATCAAGGTTTCCCACTGTTTTATATCTTGCTCGTGCTGAGTTTTGGCTTTGTTCTTAGCAAGATGTGAACCCATTGTGTTGGGTTATGCCATGTGCCATATGTTAATGACTGATCTTGGAAACAGAAATACCCTTGCTTACAGAAACTCCTAGTGACTCTATTAAACCCTCTTCTTCCACACACACTTCTCCTTTTTAGCAGGCCATTTAATGAAAGCTGGTGGGTTACAGGGGAGAGATTATATCACACAGCAAACAATCTTAAATCACATTTCTGAATTGTTCCACAAAGTTATTTGGGCTATTTAACCACCTTGGGATTTTTCAACCGCCACAACATTTTACAAAGATTTTTGTTAGCCCGCTATCCATCTGGCTGTCTCCTGTAACTCCCTTCTCATTTCTTTGCTTCACCCTTTCCTCCTTAATGAACCCAGAGGCTAGATCCTTCTCTACTATGCTGAGGATAAGTTTTCCTGAAGAACTTTCCCCTAAATACTTAGGAGTTAAACCAGGCTGTGGTTTGTTTGTGATAGTATTTCATTACGCAGGCCCCTCTCTGGTTTTTTAACCACAGGGTCTAACTACATTGCCTAGGCTGACTTTGAACACTGTCCTCCTGTCTCCATCCCAATTGCATCAATTATAAGCATGTACCATGCCCAGCCACAACAAAAGATCATTTGTTCTCCCAGCTTCTGTAAATTTACATACTGATCATTTCCATCAGAAGACACAGAAAAACTTCTTTCTGCTCTAGCGACCACCTGGTCACGGTCACTATGGACTTGACAGTTTAGGAGACCAGTAGAAGAGAGTCAATGTATTGACAGGGATCACCACTCAGTAAGATGAGGCTGAGTGACTACTCCACGGCAGCCACCTGAAGGATAACATACATATGCAGAGCACGCCCAGGGCATCAATTGACACTCCACTGCTCAATGTTAATTGTGCAGTGACAGTTACACAAGCACAGTGACCCCGATTGAAAAGGGGCTTGTGCGGGTGTTCAGCTCCCTGGAGGATGAAGGTCTAGTTTGTTTTGAGAAATAAGTTTTTTAGGTTACACAGTGAGATGAATTCTTAGATATCAAGTTGACCCTGGGTGCTACCCAACACCAACTTTATTCTATTGTAAATTTCCCCCAGGAAAGAAGAGCAATTCTTTCCCGGTGGGGCAAAAATGTTCCTGATGCAAGATGCAAGCGGAGCACAGGCCGGCGCAAAGGCTGGATTCGGTGAGCATCCGAATTTTATTTTAAGGGAAAGACTTGGGTTGCCTGGCAGCTAGGAAGCATGGCTGGCTCCTCTGGCTTGTCTGCACCCGAGCTTGTCTCTGAGCAAGCAGGGTGCTCTTTTACCCAGCGTCACTGTGACGTCCTTGCTCAGTGACTAGTCTGTGTAGGCACGCAAGGGCTAAGGCTCTTTGTTTGGGTTCAGACCACTTTAGAATAGAGTTAGCTGCCTGGATGCTCTGGGCCTCCGTCTCTCCTCTTTCCTACTTCTCCCATTTCTTCAGCGGTAATATTTCCTACTCTACTCTTCAGTAAGCATCCTCCCCCCTGAATCTCAGCCAGACCGTATGCTTCCTTAGGAGGCTGACGCGGGCCTGGCTTGATTTCAGGACTGTACACAGCTCAACCATGGAGACTGAATGCCGCCAATCACAGCAAGCTGCGCATGAGCACAGCTGGCTCCTGGAAGCAGAGGGACTGATTTTAGTTTCAGATATTTGACATTAATAAGAATTAGCATCAGTGAGGGGCAGGGGAGGAGGAGAGGGAGAGGGAACTGGGATTGACATGTAAAACAAGTTTGTTTCTAATTTAAATAAAAAATCACCCTAAAAATATAAGGGGAGTTTGAGTATTTGCTTCTGGCCTCTTGTTTCTACTTGCCATTTATTAGCATATTATGTGATCAAATGGGGTATAGAGAGGATCTGATTGGTGAGACTAAAAGCCACCCTTTCTGTTTAGAAGGAACTTCCCATGTTTCCTACTTGAACAGTGGATTGCCATGTTCAGGATACATGGTGTCCTTGGTCCTGTCAGTATAATAGGGTAGAGATCCTTCCAAAGAGCCAGGCATGGGAAGAGCATTAGAGTGCTTCTCTAAATGATCTTGGAATCTTTCTCTTCTGTAGAGAAAAGCCTTTTCCTTGCCAGCCGCTTTGGTTTTTCCCCCACCAGTTGCCTGGGCTCTGCCGAGTTGTGGTCCCCAAATAACACACAAGACGCTGTATTAATTATGAAGCTGTTGGCCTTGCTTGTTTCTTACTGGCTAGCTCTGACTTAAGTATTTAACCCATCTAAGTATTTCTCTTACCAGACGGACATCTTACTTCTCTGGGGGCTACATGATGAGTCCCTGTGTTTCTCCTACCCAGAGTCCTCCTGGACTCCTAGTCCCACCTATCTTGCTTCCTATTGGCCAACAGTGCTTTATTGACATATACACAGGACTTCCCCATCACTCTTCAATAAAAGCAAGCAAGCAAGCAAGCAAGCAACAAGCAAACCCAAACCTTTCTCCATGCAGCACATTCATGTTCCAGCACAGTGCTGCATCTACTAGCAGATTTTTCTGGACTAAAAAGTTCTTGTTTGGATATCAGCTCAGCTCTTCACTGAGTAGCCTATTTACTACTAAATTACCTTTTAGGCAACATGTTTAAATGTCCCTAGTCAGTGGGAGTTTTGTGATGAGTAAATCAATAATGGAATTATGCTACACCTAGCATCTAGCTGGCCCTCAACAAGTCACAGAGGTGGTCGGTCATCATAGTTTTGATTTTCATTTCTTGCCAGCTTTCCGTCAAGGAAACTGTTTTTCATTTTAATTATATTGGAATGGCAAGCCTTTGACACTTTCTTCAAGTGAGAGTTTTGCTTTGCAAACAGTCAGCCACTGTTTTCTGTCTCTGTACTCCGAGGTCTGTAGTCAGTGTTTTTCAATTTCTAGGGGTTAAATGAGGACATTAAACTATTGTTAGCATAGCGTATAGTTCCAGGCTGGCTGGTTCTATTTGGTTAAGTGCTTTGCAGTCCATTTTATTTGTTAATCCCAACACAGCCCTATGAGGTACATGATTGCATTTATTTTTACTCCATAGATAGTTTTTAATTAGCTTAAAAGAGTTCCTGTAACCTCTGGAAGGTTAGTGCTGGTACTTAAATTAAATTCCTTCAAGTCCTAAAGTTTTACCTGGTCCTCAGAGCCCTGCTATTTCCTTTGATTTCTGTGTTTTGACAAGGTTATAGATGTAAGTTATTGTTCGAAATGAAAGAGCAAAGAAATCTATATGACTTTTTAATGAGAGCAGTTAAATCAAGCAAGACCCTACCAGCTCAGGCTTAGATTACATTGATTTATTCTTTTCAGTTTTGGTTTCTAAATACCACTTTCTTGAATTTTTACCCATGTTTCACATTTCCCCTCTACAAATCCATTAAGCATCAGACCCCTTAAATAGTTTTAATTTCACTTCCTTCGAATCGACTTCTCACCAAGAGTCACAGAATTGTTTTCTTGGTGAGCTCTTTCTCTTCTGCTTTTGCGACAGCATAAAAGTAGGTGCTGTTCCCCTGGACGGGATGAAAACGCGCGACTCTCAGAGGGAGCGCACTGAGAGCTGCTGCTAATAATGTAACGCTATGCAATTTCAAGGTCTTACAGCAAAGAAGCGCAGGAGACAGGGATTGGGGACGAAGGCTTACAAGTATGAAGCAAGATGCGTGAGAGCCAGGTTTATAAAAGGCAGCAACCGTTGTCCCGCTCTGTCTATTCTTCAGTCCCGAGATACAGGACTTTTACCAGCATCCATTTTTTCCGAGTCTGTCCAAATAAGCAGGGCGGGTGCCACTTCCTGATTGCTTCCAGAGTGACTGGAACTCATCATCAGTTCTTGTGGGCTGCCTTTGACTAATCTTTTCCTGTGCAGCAATGCACCTCGTCGTTTAAAGGCTCGGTTAGACAATTCCTTCATGATTTCATCTGGGTCAGGAAGGATACGTTTACCTGGGGATGTCAAGTTCCCCTGAAATTGCAGGCAGGCTGTCCTCTGAGGCTGTGGTGACATTTGAAAGCTCCCACGGAAGGAAGAAGATAAAGAGCATGGGATTTGGAGCCTCACACCTAGTTAGTTTCAAACCCATCACATCTGCCATATCTTGCCAGAGTCCCACCCACATCTTCGTATCAGAAGGAAAGGTTTCTTGGGACCCTGATAGAAACTACTTCTGTAGTTTATCCGCAGGTCTCAAGACTTCATGCCGTGCTACAGAGGACCTCTGCCTCCATGACGTCTCAGAGGCTCCAATTTATTCTAGGTTCAGTTCATATGCCAGTATTTCATTCTAGGAGCAGCTTCATCAGGGAAATACATACATACTCTTTCCAAGAGACAAACACCTGCCCCATCTTTTCTCATCCAAAGTACAAGGTTTGGGCAGACACAGGCTCTCTGTTGAAGTGTTCCTGCTCAGAGACGGGGCAAAGGAGAAAGTCAGTAGTACACCATGCAAATACTTGGCAAGGTCAAGTTGACTGCAACATTGTTCAGTTGGCTAAAACCAGCCCAGGCGTCCATCAGTGTATGAATGGATAAAGAAAATGTGGTACACGCACACAATGGTCTATTGTTTAGCGGTGAAGAAGTGTCCATGACTATTGGGAAAAATGTATTGAACTGGAGGTTGAAATGATGTGTGGACCCAGAGAGACCATCGCTACATGTTCTCTTTCATATGTAGAAGGTATAGTATGTCTACCTGAGTGTAAAATAGTAATCATAGAAGTAGAGAAGGCGGGGTAGATGAAGGGGATGCATATTTAATCAGTGCACGTGTATGCATGTGTAGAAACATATAGACCTTCATTAATATGTAAAATTAATACAAATCAATAAAGGCAGAATGAAATAAGGCTGGATGTGGTAGTATGTGTCCACAGTCCTAGCACTTGGCAGCCTGAGGGAAACCCCACCTCAAAAGCAGCAACAACACAAAAGCAAAACAAAATGGATATAAATGAAGAGATTTTCACACACTCATATACATACATATCTATATTTATCTATTTGTCTACCTGTCTATCTGTAGTTTTTGAGGCAGAGTGTCACTTTGTAGTCCAGACGGGCTTCAGATTTTGTTGTGATCTCACCTCAGCCTCCAGAGCGCTGGCAGGTGTATACCATCATGCCTAGCAATAAATGTCTTTGAAGTATACTGGTCATTCATTTTACAACCAGAGCAAAATAGGATAGTCAAGTTGATAAAATATTTAAAATGAAATCTCATTTATTTATGAAGTAGAATTTTTTCTCAATCTCGTTGATTTTGCTTAATATGATCTCCAGTTTCATCCATTTTATATAAAGTCATTTCATTTTTATTTATGTCTGAATACAACACACTAGTGTGTGTGTGTGTGTGTGTGTGTGTGTGTGTGTGAGTGATATTTTCTTTAGCCATCAGTGGGTCACAATACAAGCAGACCCTTATTAGCATAGCGCAGGGCCCCAGAGAGAGGGACCTCTCCCTCCATTTCTAAGGTCCATATGCTGTCTGTGAACATGGGCATGTGCTATCCCTTAGAGAAACAAGTGGCTCTTGCCTTATTATTTTGTATTGATTGCCTGATAATAGCTTATGCTGAATGACTTTAATAATTTACATGATATCTTAGTAAGTTATATTAGTTATATCTCAATAAAAAAGAATAATTCAACTCCAATGATGTAGGATTGTTTTGTTTTTAATAATAATAATAATAATAATAATAATAATAATAATAAAACTTACCAAGTTGTACTGGGAGTGAAAGACGCTCAAGGTACTAACAAGGAGGGTTAAGATAGGCTTAAGGCGTTGGAAAACCAGCATTGCCAGCCCCCCCCCTCGGTGTGGGCCCCCTTATGATGACCCAGGCCTGCCTTGCCTGGGTGTCTGGCCTTAGCCTCCACAACAGAGACTGGTCCATTGTTCTGAGTGGACCTGCAGAGAAGAGAGAACATGAGTCAGTAAGAACTGGAACTTTGGAGAAGGAAACACGGAGATTAGAGAATGCATAGGACACAACTGTTACCGAAAAGGCTGCTCTGTGGGGCCTGCAGAGGAAATTCCCCTACTGCTTTTCTTCCCGCTGCCAGCTTCCAGTCTTGTACCATTAAAATACATTGACTGGGCCTCTCTGATTGCTACGCAGGACTCAGCTGCCCAGGCTGGGACCATCACAAGCGAACTCACGGCAACAGGTGAGTTTTATATAGGGGGAGGGCAGAACAAAACAAGAAGCAGGTGAGAAAGAGTCTCCCTAAAATGTTCTCAGATCTAGAATTGCTGGGCTCGATGAAGGTTTAGTCATTCTCTCCTCTGAGATGTGAGCAAATGAGGCACACAGCATTTCTGGACTTGAAGTTTGCTTCCTATGGCAAGATGCTTCCCACTTGACCAGGAAGTAGAAGGACCAGAAATGGGTCAGGACACGCTGTACCAGAGGCACAAGCCTGTTGTGTCTGCTGGCACAAAGCCCACTCCCATGAACAGCTGAAGGCCTCGGTGTGGGCTGCAGTCGGTTCGTGGTGTCTCTGAAGGCCTCGGTGTGGGCTGCAGTCGGTTCGTGGTGTCTCTGGCCGGTGTTCATGCATGGGTGAGGCACAGCTGACTGAGAGGAAAGTCAGCTGAAACCCAGGGGAATCCGTCAGACTGATGGGAAATTAACTGAATGGGTGTTTCAGCACACTGCCTGACCAGATGGGCATATCAAAATGTTCAAAGAAGCGTTTG